ACCTTGGGCAATTCAAGAGGAGGTTGGATGATCCCCTGTCTGGGGTCTTGTGAACCCAGCATTCATTCCTGCCTGTGGAAGGGGGCCAGGCTAGATGATCTGTTCAGGTCCCTCCTGACCCTAGCTACTATGAAACCATGAAACTATGATGTTGGTGGAGTTGCAGGTGAATGAACCTTGGATGTTGCACTCCTTGTTTTAAGTCCAGGGATGATGTGATCTGTGTTGATCTGGGGACACAGCAGGTATTTTGGTGCATGTCCCTTACCTTCCCCAAGCTAAATGTTGAATCAGCAGCAGAGCTGGGAATACAACCCAGGAGTTCTGGCTCCCACTCCCATTCCAGGAGTTCATTAGTTACACAACCATCCTTCCCCTGTTTGTGCCTGAAGTGTTTTGTTTCAGTCTTTCCCTTCTCTTGCTCCCATTATCCTTGCACTTTACCCTTTTCCCAGATTGGCTTATCCCTGTTTCACCATCTCACCACCACCTCCTTTTTCCCCTTCATGAATTTCTGCCTTTTGGCATGTTTCCAGCTCTGTCTCCCACACACTATGGCTGCCTTAGGAAGGTGGAAGGGCGAGGAAGCCCCCTGCTGTCTGTCTAATCTCCTCCCTACTCTGAGCATGGTGGGAGCAAAGGAGGCCATGGTGGGAGCAACTGGAAAGGGAAAAGGAGGAGGAAACAGCCGGGCTGCCTGCTGAGAGATCTTCCGGTCCCTAGCAGGAGGGGTTGGCAGGGAGACTTTCCTCACTGCGCACAGCCCCACTTGTGAATAAAGCTGCATGGAGAGCATTGCATTCAAACATTTTCTGGTAGCTAAGACAGCTTGGAAAGCACTTTGGAAGCCAGTAGGAGAATGAAGTTACAGAATGATTGTTACTGAAGTACTGCCAGCTCCCCAAAGCTCAAAATCCGTGAGTCTGATCCCAACATCATGGGATATCTTTTTTTAAATATTGTATCATGTTTTAGCCTTCTGATTTTTGAGCTTCAATGTGAGCATGACAGCCCACTTCTGCTCACCCCCTAGCCCATGCATTCATTCTTGCATCCTGTCCAGCCCTCCATTACTTCTGACTCACATCCCCACATCTGACCTTTCTCCTCAGTGCACTCTGCTTCTCCTGCACAACTGCATAACACCCCAGGCATTGGGGAGCAGCTGCAGTAGGGAACCTCCATCGTTCTCCCCAAGAGCTGGTACTGCAGGGATGGGGAGGAGAGGAAGGAGACATACAGAGGACAGGGAGGAGATTCACCCTGAGCTGCTGAGCTCTTTCTGCTCCCTGCCCTGTAGATGGTCAGAATTAAATAGCCTATTCATTCTCCTCTCCCCAAACACTCTTCCAGGTGACTGTGGGGCAGAGGAAAGACTTTTGCCTACCTCCTACAGCAGCTCTGATTGTCTACTTGTCCTTAGGGGGTGGGGAGTTGAAGCAGGCAGCCAATCAAAGGGAGTGTTTCCCTTTAGCAGGACTGGGTATCCCTGAATGCTAGAGCTTCTCTCCAGGGGGATCAGGCCCCACCTGTCTTACTGGTGGTGAATGGTGAAAGTGGGCAACATGTTATTGTAGGACCAGTAACTCACGAAGGAAGGCTCATGAGTCATGAGGGGTGCATCTACACATGCTTTAACACACTTTCGTTAATGCACATTAAATCTAGTACCTCTGGGTGCCTGTACACGAGCACAGAGGCTGCTCCAATGCGTTGCAATTATAGTGTGTCAGAGCAGACTTGATTAATCAAGTCTACCGGAGCGTGGCAATTATCATGCTCCAGCAGCCTCTCACATCTCATGTATCAGCATCCTTGTGCTTCAAAATGGTGGCGGAGGGTACTTGAACTAAAGCTTGTCAAACAAGCTTTAGTTCAAGTGCTCCCACCACCATTTGGAAGCTTGGGGATACTGACACAAGAGACACTGTGGAGCTTTAATTAGAGTGGCTCGTGGAGCTGCTGTAATTAAAGCACCGCCACCCTGGAGCACTTCTAAAATTGCCCTCCATTGTGAGGGTATAAGGAAAATGTGCATTATTCTGTCTTAAAGGGCTTTAACTAAAGAGAATGGTTTTTAAGTGACGGTTAATGCACATTTGCCTATTTTAATACACATTAACTAAATAGCATGGGGTGTATCTACATGTGCATTAACATGCTTTAATTAAAGCACATTAAATCTAGTATCATGAGGCACTTATACACATACTTTTTGGTTCAGTGATGTGCCAGTGTGCTGTGTTGCATGCAGTTGTGTAAATGGTGAAATGCTGTCAGTGCTTTGGGGTGTTTATATATGTGCTCCTGGAGTGGGGGTCAGGGTGCTTTAATTAAAGCAGTTCTGAGAGCTGCTCTAATTAAAGCACCTGGAGCGTCACGTGTATCAGTGTCCCTATGCTGAAAAATGGTGGTGGGGGTGCTTTAACTAAAGCTTGTCTGCTGGGGCACAGTAATTACCATGCTCCAGCAGACTAGATTAATTGAGTCTGCTCCAATGCACTGTAATTACAGCGTGTCGGAGCAGCCTTGCTGCACGTCTATAGGCACCCTTGGAGCAGAGTTCCCTCTAAGCTGCGTAGCCTGCATGGCCATGCAGGCAGGCTCATGCTGTGCTGTCAGGTGTGGCTGTGCATACCACACAGCTTAGAGGTAATGCTGCCTTGGAGTCCGACATGGGCCTCAGCTCTAGAATAGTCTGTGAAACATATGTGAAATGCAGTGTTCAGGAGAACTCAAGGAAGAAAGGTTTCAGAGGAAGAAGGACCAGGTTTTCAGCTTTATGCATTCTTTCCTTATTCTGCCTTCTTGCACATCCATACATCACCTGCCATTTATCTACTCACTCATTTCCATAGTGACGTTACATTTGTACCCTAAGGACACTCATCAGTGATAACTTCCTAAGGGTGAGCAACCTTTCAGCTGCACTTTTTATGCTTCTATTTCAGTTTGGGTTGCTACCAGCCTTAAGGACTGTGTCATGCAAAGGACAGGCTGGCACTGAGTTGACATGAGCTATGGAATTTAGACAATATATGTGTCCACCACATCCCAGAGGTTTGAAATTGCACAACAATTTTGCTTGCCCTTCTCTCATAGCTGTTGTAGGAGAAAACATGCAAGTGGAGTCCTGCCCTTGGGAATCCCATAGTTTAGAACGCGGGCAGCTTCCCCCATAGTAGCAGTACTGTATTTTTTTGGAAGGCAGTCACTGCCTGTACCGTAAGTAAGTCAACACATCCACATTGCACTGTTATTTCACATCATGTTTAATAATACTCTAGTACCATTCATTATAAATAAATAACCATTAAAAATGACTTCCTTGACATTCTCTTTCTTGATGATATTATTTTCTGGAACAGGAAAGGTTAATAATATCCATTGTTTACTGAATCTGATAAATCTTCGAGAATATAAAAGGCAGACACTAAGATGCTAGTTAAAACCAGGTGGTGAGATGCTTTGCCTGGCACTTTAGGCAGCTTCCCAGCATTGACTATGCAATTTCAAGCTGATCTGTAGCTCCCACTGCTGCTCCACTCTTGTGACCCCTCACTTGCAAACTCTGCTAATGCACAGCCATCCTAACCTAAGGTACCTATTGCTCTTCAAGCCATTGGCTTCTCCATAGCTCTGCAAACCTACTTGAATTCCTACATGACAGCTAGCCCCTCCCTGCTGACCTGGGTCTGGTCTACCAAGAAACAATCCATTACACTGGATAGTTCTAAATGGTTGCTCCCTAGTAGACACACAGTCTAGCAGAAATAGAAACAACATTGACTGGGGACTCTGGGCTGTCATGAAAAGAATCTGAGTTTAGTTTCTGGCTCTACCACTTAGGCCTGATCTCTATTAAAAGTGTTGCCAGTGGAGCCCTGCGAGATAGGGCTGTGATCTTCCTGCCAGTGTATATTTTTTGTCAGCAGCTAGCTGACAAATGCCAACAAAAGCCCTAATGTGGAAACAATTATACGTTCAAAGGTATAGCTTGTTTCACCTAGGGAGCTGGTATTACCTATATTGACTGACAAAAGGGGTGATGAGGGCCCAATAAGTACTACCTCTTAGGTACTTGAAGTGGCTCTATTGTTTTACTTAGCTGACTTTGAACTTAAGTTCTCCTTAGCTGAAGTCTAGGGAGTTACTGAACACTGTCACTTCCTTTTTCTTGTTGGTAGAGGTCCTGCCTTCCCATCACGTGAACATGGAAGATGCTAAATTGGTTCTTTCATTTTGCTTCTCATGCCCATTTATTGAAAGCAATGTGAATTTAGGAGACAGTTTATTGGATGACTCAGGTTGGTGAGCAGAGCCCAGAAGAATGGCAGGCCTACTCCCAGCCCCTCATCAGGTGAGAAAGGAAGGACGGATTCCAGGCAAGTGACCATCTTAGAGATGGAAGACATCGGCATTAAAGACAGGGGAAGCATGGGCAATGGTACAGCATTGTCCCCTGGCTGTCCAGGCTGCTGCCCCTGAAGAGCTCTTTCAAGGGACAGGAGGGGAGTTCAGTCTCCGTGATCCATTCATTTCTTCAAGCTGAGACGGCCAATGGAATGGCCCATCAGCAATGAGGATGAACACTGACTGAAGTCAAACTCAGGAATCTCTGTTTGCAATCCATCTCTTTATTTTTCATGCCCTTTGCTCAGATAAGACTCTTCTTGCTTCTTTCTTCACCCCCCCACTCCTTAACACCCTGGCCCTCATCCAACTCCCACTGAAGTGAAGGAGGAGTTTTGCTACTGACTTCTATGCATAAGGGAACAAAGCCTGTGTCTACCCCCCAGATAGGTTAAGTCCTTTTCTTGGAAGCTTCCCAAGATTCCTTGGGGTCTGTCTTCTGAGGGGGCGGCTGCCTGTATACATTCAGCCCGCAAGGCACCTGCTGGGGGCTGGGAAACTTGGCACAGCCTTAGTTTCATACATGCCTACCACATACAATAACTTTATTTCCTTGAAACTTACTCCCCCCATTACTGTGCTTCTGATTATTTTGCTGGTTTAAGACACTAGTTAAAACCCCCGCAGGGAGCATGAAACATATGACATTTCAGCAGGGAACACAAAATCTGCCATTCCTCTGTAGGAGCTGAAAGAGTTTAGTATGGCAGGGGAAAAATTCTCATTCTTCAGAAACAGGTCAGATGATCCAGGCTAGAAAATAGAGAATGGGCAGAACAGAACCATAATATAAATAAGCCAACAAATAAATAAGTCTCCTGCCAGCTCAGGGTTTGGGTTGTTTTTTTTGGAGAGGGTGGCTCATTAGTCCCCAAACCTTCCTCCTCTGTGAGTAAGGATGGTCTTCCAGGTATGATTAGAGGGTTCTTGAGGTTTGATCAGGTGAAGTCTTCCTCCAGGAGTATGAGAGACAATCCCTTCCCCACAGTACAGACACTTGTGCTTTAAATACTGCTCACACACCTGCCTCAATGGTCACCTCTTTCTCTGAGGCTCCTCTAGGCTACCTATGTCTGGCCAATGCCCCAGCTACCTCTCCTCTGCTGGGGGAAGAAGGACTCCTCCGGATCAGACTCTGACCCTTCTCTCAGCTCACATAGCTAATTACTCCTCTCACAGTTTCACTCAGAGTCTCCACTGTATTTGATTCCCTTCATGCTTACAGCTGCTTAGTTGTCATTAAGGGTCCCGGTTACTTAGCATTGGTCTCTTGATGTTGTTCCTCATCTCTCTGATGTTCTCATAGAGGGGTGATAAAACCTCTGGTTTCTTTGCTGCTGAATGCTGCTCACTCACTGCCACTTCACTGTGCAGAGGCAACATTTCTGAGCTGGAGCCTGGGGGGTGATACTGCGTTTAAGACCCAAAGCAGCTGATCAACTCAAACATCTGGTGCTAGTGCAACAAGGATCCCAGTGCTCTGGCAATAATTTAAAGTCCATCCTGGCACTGTCCCTGCTTTTCAGTGTCTGGGAGAACATGCACACACATGACATGGGGAAACACAATTTCTAGCAGATCTACTGCCTCTCCCTGGCATGGGAGAGGGTGTTTATCCAACAAACTCCACCTCTTGGAATGCAATGCTGTGTGGCCCAAGTTTGCAAACATGAAGCCTGAAGTTAGATAGTCCTCAGCCAAGACGCCCAAATTAGCACCTGGGCACCTTGAATACCAAGAGAGGAAGTGCCCAAGTACTTCTGAGAACTTCCAAATGCAGTATGAGATGCTGTAACCTCACCTCTGTCCCAAGTCCAAAGCCTGAGCTGCGGGCCAGACAGAGACAGTCCTTCAAGGCTTGCACCCTCGGGGGAAGGTCCCCTCAAGTTGGGCTTGTTCTTAAGTGGTTTTTAAAGCAGACAGATTTATCATTGTGTTTTCACAACATCTCCCTCCTCTGAACTATCATAGCTTGTGACAGCTTTGAGGAAGCTCAGGTTTCATGTCCTCAGAGCAGGCAATTTCAGAGGCTTCTCAGTGGCATGGAGAGCCCTGGTCTCCAAAAGAAGCCTGGGTGATGTTTCTTTAGGCCAGAGATGGCACAGCAGTGATTTTAGATTGTACCTTAAAAAGTCATCTTCCAGCCAGTGGTTAAAAACATAGGACTCCCGTAGATGGATCTCTCAGCCAAGGACTGGTGGCTAGTGCTTAAGTCAAAGGTGAAATTCCATATGGCCACATGGTACCACATCAGCTCTGCCCCTGGTTTTTACTAGCTTTGGGACAATGGGGAGCTGGTAGACATGGTCATGACCTGGTGGGCAGCATCCTCCTCCACTGTTGTAACAGAGAGCTGGGCAGAGCTGGCAACGTGAGAGTCTGCTGCTGGAACACCTATGAAGTAAACTCTCCCCAGTGCCCCTGCAAAACCAAAAAAGAAGTGGAGTCAAAATGAGGTGTAAGGCAGACAAATATTGACACAACACCAGATATATTGTCCAGAGGTCCTTTTCCAAAGAGCTGTCCCTTGGCTCCATTACAACACTGTTCCTCCATGTAGTGTAGAAGGGACAGTAGCTGTACCCTTTTACTGTGCAACAGGCACATCAAGGGTTTAAGAACACGGTTGATGCTTTGTTGGGTGCTATCTGTACTACCAAGTGTAGCAGTTCTGTAGCTGGGTCAAAGGGCAATGGCATATGGCACTGTACCCAGGTTGTAACTCAGCTGTAGACAGATTCTGAGTATAGCTCAGTATTGAAGAACAGCTCTCTAATGTGACTGCATTGATTTTTTTTCCTGTCCACACAAGCAAGAAGAAACTATGTTATAACAAGGATGGAGAAACAACCATCCTTCACCACTTTGTTTAAGGACGGTTATTTATGTAGCGTGTAAAGTGTTGACTCTAATCAATACACGGGCCCAGGAGGGAGAGGGAGGATATTAAAATGTAAGTGCAGATAACTCAAGAGGCAGTTCTCATGCTCACGGCAGCTGCAAAGGAAAAATATTAGGCTCGGCCTCTTTTCTGCTTCTTTAGGGAGTAGAATGAAGACCTGGAGGATATTGTAAAATAAACCAAATTCCCCTTTTCCTTGCTATTTTTGCCTTTAATTTAGTTTTAAATGGATAGCAGGAAGATCAATCTTGTCATTCTTGTTTTGGCTGATGGACTTGTTAGGGGGTCTTGGAAATACAGCTTGAGAGTTTTCTCAGTCTTTTAATTCACAGGGAGGCAAAACCATAAGGGAAGGCTGGTCTTTCAAGGATATTGGTAAACAGATTCTAATGACAATCTTGTCAGTCTCTTATGCCCCACTTTGCATCAGCAGACCTCAAAGCATGAACAGCAGCAAACAAAAAACCCGAAGAGTTTTAAGGAGCCTGATCCAAAATTGCTTCCACTGTCAGATGATAGCAGAGAGCGGGTGGCCTTTGCTGCTGTGCTCCATAGAAATGCAGTACAACATCTGTAGCCAGGGGGTGGCCTTAAGCCACCTTTGTGTGTTTCTGAACCTGGGCTGATTTGGGGCCCTTTCATAACAGAGACACCCCCAGGAATTTCCTGACTGCTCAACATATTCCCGCAATCAGCCCTGCCCCAATGCATGCTTGATCAGGGCTGGCCAGGTGGGCCTTGGAGAGCAGCCTTACATCAATTTTCTACAATATCCACCCTGGGGAAAATCCTTCTCTGGCTCCATCTGGGGCTCTTCTGTCTTTCTTGCCATTTCACAAGCATAGGGCTTGGGGACAGTGTTGGGGACCTTCCTTGTGGTCCTGACTCCTAACAGACTTCCAGGTGTTCACTGGCTATCCTAGGCCATGAGTTCTAGTGCAAATACCAAGAGAAAGACTTTTTTTTTTTTTTATAAGGCCTCCAGGCACTTTTGTCCCACATCAGATGGAAAACAAAGGCATGTTTCTGATCCTCTCCCCTGTTCCCATTCCATTTACCGCAGATGGTCACGTGTTCTGCAGAATTACACACATGCTATGTACATGAGATAGAGGCCTGTGAGTGGTGGGAGGCAAGCAGGGATGCGAGTAGGAAGAAGATGCTACTATTCAGGGCTGTACCTGCTGGAGCATGATCTTTGCAGCTGACTTGGTTGGGGTGTCCCATTGCACTGTGCCTGTGGTATCCCAACTATGCATGCATGTGCTGTGCTCTGTGCTGGGAAGTCTTGCAAGCAGTTTGACAAGGTGTTTATAAAACATGGAGCCTTGCAGCAAACAAATATCTGCCTAGGTCATGTCACTTGGATCTAAGGAATTTAGATTCTGAAGTATTTAAGAATTGAAGGAAATTTCAGAAAAGCACTGGACTCTGAAGGCCAGACCTAGCTTGTCACAGAGACACATTCCCATGCGAGGGAGGGAGGAATATGCTTTATCCTGTAGATATTTTTACCTAGCAAGTTCCCAGGCCTGGCGGTGGTATAGGCATTGCTAGCATTCTGGTCTCCCCTGCTCTTTGCTTGCAGCATGCTATAGGTTTCTTATCCTATAGGATGCTTTGCAGCTGTTCTGTTTGAGAAGGGCCAGAGCAGAAGATCTCGTGGCCTCTATGGGACAGCTGACTGTCCGTGAATGCAGCCTAGGAGGCCTCTTCCAGTCCCAATAAGTGCAGAACAGAACACCTTAAATGACAATCTTTTGTCTTGTCTTCTGTTGCATGCCACCCTCTGCAAACAGGAGGCCTGATAACTTCCAAAAATCAACAGGCTTGATCTCAAGACAGTGGTCAAGCAGGCCACTGGGGGCTCTAAGAGGTTTAGCCCAGCCACAAGCGGTGATGGTGAGTTAAAATTTTAAGTGTGGAAATGGAATCTGGCTTGGCTGCCCAAGGGGTCGTTGATATAGGCTCCCTTTGCTCTATTTATCTGTGACACAATGAGGTTCTTTCTTCACATCAGAGGCCTGCTGCTTTGGAAAATCCTATTGGAATGGATGCTACCCGCAACCTGGATTAAAGGACCACAGTGCCCTTGAATAGAAGAAGGTAGGCCAAGGTCTACCATGACAAAAGAGCCAAATGAACTGTAATCAACAAAGCAACACCTGTTTGCATCAGCTAAGAATCTGGCATGAAACTATGAGATAGGGCAGTGATGGAAAGGAGAAGGCCAAAATCTTTCCTGTAGATAAGCTGCTAGGGGGTGCGAAGGTGGGGGGAGGAAAAGGGGGAATATGAATCACTCAGCTCGGTCTGGGTCACAAACCAAAGCACTCTCTTCCTTCATAACAAATAATCTGAAGGAAACCATCCCTGAGATAATAAACCACACGTGCATGGCATTTGTTATGGAGAATGACTCAGTGCTTGTCAGAGAGAGAGCAAGAGAGTTCTTTGTAGCCCCTGGCCTTATCAGTACCAGTTCGGAGCTGGGTTGGCTGAAACAAGGGTTAGCAGTCACTGTCACCTTCTTTACCCTGAAGCAGTCACTAGTGCCACCTCAGGTGGTGCCTAACTGCGATGAGGAGGGAGGGAAGCAGATATTAGCATGAATAAGGCAAAGAAGCTTTGGCCACTAAAAGCCATCAGGGAACTCCATTCACAGCAGAGAACAGTGGGTGTACATGGAGCTGGTCCCAATGGGAAGAGGAAGAGAATGGAGGAGGCAGGAAGTTACTGGCACAGAGCATTGAATAAATTGAAAACAAAAAAGCCCACACATGGGAACGGTCGGGGGAAGCAACAACGGGCTTAATGGGTTGAATTCTAGAGGTATTTCATGTGTATCAGATGTACAGAGTACAGGCAAGGCAGTCAGCTTCTTCAGCCCACTGAACTTCTCCCACTCTCAGAGAAGGACAGTCTCACCTTGGAGGCTATAGCAGGCATACAATTTGACTGCACATAATGTTAAAAGAATCTGTGTTCCTTAAGGTGTGCCTCCCCCAATCTCTCCTTTTAGCATCTGGCACTCTGACTTGTCCTGCTGTGAGCTACACAGACATGCAGGCAGAGCCAGGGCAGCATCCTGGTCACCACTGGCATGAATGTCTGTGCATATTGCGAGACACGTGTGATTTTTTTCCCTGCATTCTTGCCATTTGTCTGTGTGTATCAGGATGGGTTTCAAGCTGTGCTTTTAATTCCATTTTTGTCTGGTTTCTTTTTCCTTCCAGGCAAACCTTGGAACTAGTTTTATCAGAAAAGCAAGCTATTGAGGTCAATGAGCTATTGCCCACATCTCCCCACTCTGTGCAAGGACTATAGACAGAGCAGCTCTCAAGACCCCAGTTTGGGGTTGTATATCTGTGGATTGGGCTTGAATATACATGCTTGCAGAGATATTACCGTATATATTAGTGCTATGGATACAGGCATACTTACATCCTGGGGCCATAATGCCATTTTATACCTCTACCCGTGGGTCCGTAAAACCACGCTTGCCTTCATTAACCAGTGTTGGCCTCTCAGTCCGTGTGTGCCAGACCAAAACCTACAGGGAAATGCAGAGAGAGTTCACAGGCCATTTGAAATTCATGGAGAAACCAATCCCACCAACATGCTCATTCCTGAACTGCCAATGCTCTGAAATGCATTAGGTGTCTGGGAGAAAGTGATGTGAGTCGGAGCTGGATGGGATTTTTTTATAGGCACTCACAAAACCAGCAAATGAATATTGAAGTAAATGTAATAAACAATACCAATTAGGAGAGATGAGCCTGAACAAAAACCTCACTGAACCTTCCTCTGCCTTGGTGGAATTGGGATCTGAATCCCTCAGTGGGGGCCCTTCTCTAACAATCTAATTATACTGCACAGCAGCACGGCTCTATAGGGCTCCAAGAGCTGCTCAGCTGCAAAGCACTTTTGTTAACTTATTTCTCTACCATGCTGTTCTGTGCTGACATACCTTGGTGCGAGCACAGGTGGGATGCAGGCTGGAAGGGAAAGGGAGAGGGGGGAACAGGGTACTGGAATGCTGGGGTGGGGAGTGTCCAAAGGTTGGGTGATGGATAGATCCCAGCAAGGCAAAGCCCCTCATCATGCCAACCTTTGTGCAGTTGGCAGCTTTGGGCTCCAGTCCATCCATCGTCACCAGGTCCTTCAGCAAGCTGGTTTCCTGGTAGCCTCCCTTGACTCCCTCCAGCTTGAAACTGGCCTGGGGCTTCTCCAGGATCAGTCTGATGCTAACGGCAAAGCCTGCCATGTCGATCGCAAAGGGTCGGTTAGGGTCAAAAACTGTCTTCCAGCCCACCACCTTCCCTGAGGGGCTCACTTTGGGGGACTCATACCGCAGGCCTCCCACAAAGGCTACAGGCCAGACGGACACCCGCCGTGTGTAGCGCATCTGTGGGCCAGAAAAAAACAGTGTGAAGGTTCAGTGAAGACCCCACTCCCTTTGCATGCCAGGCTCCTGCTTTCTCACCCTTTGATCCCTCACCCCAGAATCACCCTACCAGGCTTGCCCCATAGTCACCCCTTGCAGCCTTTCTTTTTCCACTGTTTCCTTCTGCCTGCTCTTGTCCACTCTCCTGACACCTTCCCATCCTTTCCTCTCCATCTCAGCCCAACAACTAACTCCATCCTCTAACCCCACCTGGCCACCAGCCTTCCTACCTGCTGATGGGATTGCCTTTGCATGCCTGCCTCCTCCACATGTGCCCAGTCCCTCCTCTGATGCTTATGCACTCTGTTCCCCCCTTTCAGCTCTATCTCCTCACAGCTGTGATCAAAGCAACTTTCTTGCTATCCCCCTGTTATGTCACTCCCTGCCCTTCTCCCAATTCACCTTCAGTCACTTCTTTCAGCTAAGTGCATCTCTCCCTAGCCATGACCTTAGCACTCCATCTGGCTCAGGGACATATAGGGCTGTTCTCAGCTGCCCTCCTAAGCAGGCAGAACTGTTTGTCCACCAAAATGCCCTTGCTCCACTAGCCAAAAGAAGGTGACCATATAATGATCTTTAGCCCCGAGGCTCTATATTTCCTCCCATTCCTTTTGCTCCTTCAGACATAGCTCTGCTCTGAACACCTGACTCCATCTCTGCTGGGAACAAAGGCTGGTGGATTTGCAAAGCTGTTGGTTTCCTAGCTTCTCCTATCCTGGCACCCAGCTCACCCAGCCTGGTGAGGCAGAGGGAATCCCAGCAGGCACAGCTCCAGGGTGTGGACCCTTTGAGCACAGCTGTCAGCTCTTTCTCACACTTGGTGCAGAAGGCCTGTGTGGGTTGCAGAGCCCCAGGGCCCTTTGTAGCCACACAGCAAAGGAAAGATCTGGCTCTGTAGAGGTGGACAGTTACACTTTGCTTTGCTCTTTCATGATGTCCTACCTCCTCAAAGAGCTCCAGGCTGTAGGTGTTGTCATCGTCGGCAAAGTACACGACTCCTTCAGGTGGTGGCGTGTGGCTGAAGCTATCCCTCAGCCAGTGCAGCCCCAAGTTCCTCTGCAGCGTCCCCCTTGGGGTGTGAGAGGGCATCCAAGACAGGCCCACCTTCAGACTCTTGGGGGTCTCCACGTTCAAGTGTGTGAAGTTGAGCCCTGCCTTTTCCAGCAGGTTGGACACCAAGTTGGTCCTCCGGGGTGAGTCCTCTACCACCACCCAGTGCAGGTTCTGCACATGTAGGAAGGTGTTGGCGAGCCGGGTCAGCTCGGCCTTCTGCACTGGCCGCGTGTAGGTGGGTGTGATTACAAAGATGGTGGGCAGCGTGTCCGACCATGGCGGAGGCCTCGAGTACACATAATTCTGGATGATTCGAGGAGCTGCCCCTGTGGGCGGCTGCCGGATGCAGGATGGGAGCCCCTCCTCTCTCAGTGGGGATGTGCTGTTGAAGGTGGCTTTAGCTGTGACATTTTCGTCTGTCTCTTCTGAGGCAAAAAGGGCGGAAGAGGAAGGTGAGAGTTAAAGAGCAAAGTACATGAGGGGGCAGTTGATACCAATCTGTCAGTCTGTGATCTATCTAGAGAAGGAGCCATGGTTCCCTACAGATGACAGCATAGGAGAGTGAATCTCCCACAGACCAATGTCACTGCTTGGTTCTTCAGAGGTTTTGCTGTGACTACCAAATGTGGGACATTTCCTAATGCTGTGGGGAACTTTAAGAGAAGACTGGATAGCCATCTAGCTGGACCCCAGCGCTCTTTCCTGCCTATGCAGGAGGTCAGACTCAATGATCTGCTGATATCCCTTCTGACGCTAGCATCTATGAATCTATAATGGGAAAAGAGGAGGCCAAGGGCTCTTTTACTTGTGACCTGATGGAGCCACCAAACAGTGCTGTCCTTACAGGCAGCATATAGATTTAATGAACAGAAGGCAGTGTTAGATGTGCCACAATGGCATTCAAGAAGAGCATGATTTACATCCTAAAGGTGAAATCATTTTGTTTGGAGCTGGGTCCTGAGCACATCTAGGGTTTCTGGGAACGTGTTAGAAAGCAGAGCATCTAAAACTGGATCACGCTGCAGACTGCTTCTTCATAGAGAGTCTCACCCACACTTCGCCTGCTAGCCGCTGAAACTACGGCAACCACAGTTCATGGTTACCTGAAAACACATCTGCTGTCTCTCACTGAGACTCCATGAATATAAGCTTTAATGTGATGAATGTGTGCCCCCCTCTGTTTTGTAATTGCTTTTTTATTTTCCCTTCCTGATTTAAAAATTAATTAGAGCCTTCGGAAAATGGAAACTCTGGAAGAGTTCAGGCAGGGCTAAATCCAGCAAATCACTTGAAATGTAAAAAAAAAAAAAAAAAAAAAAAAAAAAATTTTTTTTTCCAGGGGGGGGGAGGGGGTTGAAAAATGTCACAGTC